AAAAAAAAAAATTAAAAATCTAATTTTGATAACTTTAAACTTGTGTTCTTATTTTTGAAATAGACTAAACGTATACTCTTGAATATGTAATCTTCCCAAAAATGTTTTACTTGTAAACATAAATTCCGTGCAATCAAATCCAAACGTGACATGATTAAAAGATTGTTTGACAAAAAAATTAATAAAATTTAATAGCGTGTAGCTAAAATTAATAGTTGACTTAGATGTCAACTTTTCAATAACTTTTAAGTATTTTCGAAAGGAAAATTCCACTTGTACATAATTTGTCTTGCCTAAGGGTATCCACCATCTCACACGAGGTGGACCCCACATGAATAAAATTCATTTTTTAATCATGCATGGTCCAGCCCCATGTGAGAGGGTGGACACCCTTAGGTAAGACAAATTATGCACCACTAGCATAGTTCTTTTCGAGATGTGTATGCTTTTTTATTTCTTTATTTGGGGTCCATTTAATATGACTTTTGCTTTTATTTTTACTTTCTATGGAAGAGTATTTGGGAGGAAGCTATTTTAATTTTTGTTAGAAAACTAATTTTTAAAAGCATTTCTTAGTCCAGAACTGTTTTAGAGAAAGTCACAATGGACCAGCTTCCTATAAAAGTGCTTCTAACTGTTCAAAGCACTTTCATAAAATTAATCAAACGGGTAAAAAAAAAATTTGGGTCTCAAAGACTCCTTTTGACTTTTCAAAAGTTATGCCAAACGAGTTTTACGACATTTTTAAAAAATTATCAAACTGTAAGATTTACTGAAAATGGTTAAACTTGGGGTTCGTTTGATTGATTTAAATTCCATGAAAAATGTAACATCCGAAGAATTCAATTTCTACTTTAACTATTTGATACGAAAGTGGAAAATGGAGTTCGATTTCCAAAGTACAACTACTTTAAACTTTTTTTTTTTTGCCAATTTTATGGAAAATGCATTCTTAAATGGTACTTGGATTTTTATTTTCCAACTTACGTGAAATTGGAAAGTCTTTCCACCTTTACCAATCAAACGAACCCTTAGAAAAATTTACCCGCTACGAAGAAACAAGAAAAAGAAAAAAAAAGGAGGGGGTGAATTGCAGTAGCGGTACCAAACATTTCATTAAGTAGCAGATTTTGCCCAAATCTTTTATTTGTGTCGCCCACGATACCAAACCTTTCAAAATGTCGCAGTTGAAATCCAAATGGACTAAAACTATTAGTTTGATAGTTAGTTAACCAAAAATAAAAAAAAAATATGACCAAATGTTGACTAATTTTAAAAGTGTAAAAATGTTATTTTATATTTTACATATAAAATAACTAAAACAAAAGAATTAAGTAAAAAAGAAAAAAGCTTCTGAAGAAGAAAACATTCTTCCCCCGCCCCACCTCCAAACAATGTTCTAAAGGATTCCTTATCAAATTGAGAAGTTGTAAAGTTTTCGAACAAAAGGAAACTTTAATTTCACTTCGAAAATTGACTCGCACCAAGGGGGAAACCAACAAAATGTAAATAATTACGTAAGCCAACTCATTTAATGCTAACAGAAAAATGCATATTGTAAAAAAATAAAAAAAAACTAACATTTATATATATAACTCCTCTGGAAAAATGAGAACAAACACCTAATGTTTGGATGAATTCCAATTCAAATCGCCTCATTTTTAGAGTTCGATGCTCCTCACTTGGAAAAAGAGGAATAACTTTGTTAGGAGTTTCTAGTCGAGCACTTCCAAAGGAGCTTTTCGGGGTTGAAGTCGTCGTTGGGTGGTGGAAGGGCGATGGACAGCGATGGATTTTCTGGTTTCGATTTGGTTTGGAAGTGAGTGGGAAGAAGATGAACAATATTTTCTTCTTTGGAGGCTTTTTTTTTTTTTTT